GGGCAGGTGAAGCAGCCTTTTCTCAGCTGTGGAAGGCTGACCTGTACCACACCTGCCGTGAGGGGTGGGGTAGCTCAGACCAGGAGGCTGTGGGTTGGAGGAGGCCCTGTGTTCACTGCCAGCTGGCTCTTGTTCTTTTCTTTTTGTCTTTTAAATCTTACTGGAGAAGTTGTGCCCTCAATTCAAAGCCTATCATTCTGGGCTTATACCTAGCCCAGTGCAAGTATGGCGCACTCGGTTCTCTGCTCCTGCAGAGGCTGAAGGTTTCTCAGGTATCTTAAACCTGTGTGACTATGCCTGGTAAATCTGAGTAGTGTCTGATTCTGCGTCAGCAGTGGTTTTAATGCCAGGTCGATGGGATCATGTCCTTTCCTTTTTAGCATAAATCCTGGAACAGAGTGCTCTTTCGATCAAGAAGAGATGTTTTCATAGGATTCATCTGTAGGTCTGCTGTCGACATCACTACGGAAGGTGCTCAGCAGACACCAAGGTCCCCTCTTCGGCTCTGATGGGACCGGGCCCTTCCTGGTGATTTCCCAGCACACCTTGCCCTGGCACCCAGGGCATTGTGGGGAAGTCTTTTCAGTTTGAAAGATGACAGTAATTACATCTGCCTGCTCATTCATTATACGACACCCTTATTTCCAGTGAAATGGAAATTTCAGTTTCAGAATTATTGCTAACCAAATTACCTTTATCAGTGAAAGAGCATCTGCTCACAATTACTTATAAAATGGAAAAAACGAATCTTTTCAGCATATACATTCGCAGCTCTGATGTATATAAATTGAAAGTCAAGCCTGGAGTTCAGCAGTCCATTTTTCACCCTGTTCAAAACAGGAGGCAGCCCTGCCAGACATTCATTATGCACATTAGAAGGTGGCTGGAGATGGGGCTGGTCCACTTTGTCACTCTTGCTTACCTGCTTCCAGAGAAGCTCAAAACCAGTGGAAAATGGGCCCCTGCCTGTGAACAAGGACGCTCTGCAGCTCATTCTAGGATGGGCGTTCTGTCGTTTGTCCTAGGCTGGCCTTGTGCTGCGCTGCCTGTGCCCCTTGCTGCACCTCACTCAGGTTCTCAATGGGCGTGGCACTGGCCTTTCAGCTCCTTTCAGGAGAAAGGCAGGCCAGGTGCTGGGTGCTCGTACTGGGGGAGTCTGGTCAAGGAGACAGCTCAGAGGCTCGGCTCCCTTGTCCTCCCTGCCTCTGTGGTGTCTAGCTCCAGGGCAGGAAGCAGGCCTTGCCTTCCCTGTGCCTGTCCTGAGAGGCAGCCTGGGTGTGGGGCCCAGTGGATCTCTGCTGGGAGAGCTGAAGAGTGGAGAGCCTTCTGTTCCCCAGGGCCTGGCTGTGTCCTCCCGGGTTATCACTGGGTTTGGGTTTCCCTCCTTGGCCGGCGCTCTTGCACATGCCGACTGGGCTTTGCTCTGTGGAGGGTGATGACCACGTCTAGGTGCTGGTTCCCAGAGGCCCAAGGGTGGGGCTGTTCCACTGTTGGAGGGGGTAGTTCTGGGTCCTGTCTCCACTCTGTGCTGCCATATGCACAACTTTGGACAGGTTGCCTTGCAGGTGAGGGCCAAGGGTCCCCTGGTCAGGGTATGAGGCATGTGACACTGCAGGGAGCTGTGTGAGGGAGATTGTGCAGTATGCAGGTCTCTGTGCCTGGCTGGCGTGCACTCCTTGCCAATTCATCATCACAGGGGAGGGCTGGGAATGGGCGGATGGCTCTTCAGCCTCCTACGGATGAGCAATGCAGAAGTGAGCAGCCACTCCACTGTCCCTGTCCAGTCGCTCCTCACTAACCATGCCACCACTGCCATGGCAGGACCTGACTATGTCAAAGASTGTTGTGACAGGCGTGTTTAATAATCTGGACCCTGCACTGACTCCACTTTTACTAGCGCAGCTCAAGGCAGTTTCTACCATTGTTAAGCAGCCCTTCGGCATTCTACCTTTGGGATATCGGTTCTCATGCATTCTTTCTCTCTACTGCACATAGACACCGTGGTCTGCTAGGGAGAAATCAGGTCCAATTTATAAGAGAGGCCTTAAAGCAAGCACTCACCTGCACCCCTTCCACATGCACAGGGCTCAGGTGAACGACATTGTCAGGTCTTACCCAGTAAATAGAGACTTTCTGGAGGTGGGGAATCTCTTGGAGACTGAGTCAGGCCTGCCCACCAAGAGCTATGTGACACCTGCACCAGTCTCTCTCAAGAGTCACAGGACTCGGGCAGGAGCCACAGTTCCCCAAGCCTGGCAGGCACTCTGCTGCACACCGGGGCCCATCACAGGGAAGGTTGACATCTCCAGAACTGGAAAATAAACAGCTCTGACGCACGCCCAGAGGCAGGCGGCACCTTTCTAAGACAAACTGGCCAGAAACAACCCTGAAAAATTAAATGTGTTTCTGGAACATCTGTCATTGAAGTAACCTTATGAAACAGTGAAAATCAAGCCTCCGTGCTCTATTTGCAGCCTCAAAGGCATCAGGGCAAGAAATGGGCCTGCTCCTAGCCCTCCCCGGTGAAGATGGATTGGTAAGGAGTGCACCCCAGCCAGGGCATGGTGCCCTGCCATCCTGCACCAGCCCCCCCCCCAGCTCCCTGCAAGGCCATATGCCTCCCACCCTGACCAGGGGACTTCAGGCCTTACCTGCAAGGCAGTCTGTCCAAAGGTGTGTATGTGACAGCAGCTGAGTGGAGACAGGACCCAGGAAGGCAGAGCTGCAGAATGGGAGTGGCCACCTCTTGGGCACACCAGCCCCGGGAGCCCCAGGAGCAGTGTTTTCACCACACCCCTGCATGCCACTTTGAATCCCCCCATCATCCCTGCTGGTTCCAGGCCCCGGTTTCCTCTGGGAAGCTGTCCCTGTCACTGTGGCCTGTTCCTCCCCAAGTAGCCAACTGCCTGTTCTTTGAAGCTCATTCCTGTCGTCTGAGTAAAAGACCTTGTTCAGAAAGTTCTCTTGGTCTCTAAACTGCTGGTTTCCAGATATTGTCAGAGTTGAATTTCACATGGGCTGCTGTGCCCCACGTCAGTGCACTGGGCTGTGGTGAGGCTGTCAGTTCTAGAGGGCTGTATCCTTGGGGAATGGACAAAGGTCAGGGCTAGACAAGGAGCCACCTTGTGGGCTCAGGTTCATTTTTTTAGCTGCAGATAATTTCAATTAGAAACAATTTTTATAAATATATTTTTGGCAGTGCTGGGGATCCAGGGCCTCATCTATGCTAGGCAAGTGCTATACCTTTGAGCTTCACTCCCTAGCCCCTTTATATTCTTTAAAAAAACTTTGCTTATATAGAAACACGCAGGGTCATCTGTCATGTTTGCATGGAAGTGTTCTAGATCTCTTAATAAAGCCMAAACAGGGCATGCCTATGATCCCAGCTACTCAGGAGGTTGAGGCTGGAGGATCACAAGTTCAAGGCTAGCCTCAGCAACTTGGTGAGATTCCATCTCAGAATAAAATAAAAAAGGACTGATAATGTAGTTCAGTGATAGGGCATTATTGGGTTCAATCACCCAAACAAAAACAAAAACAAACCAACAGAAACGAATCCCACCCTGTCTATAGGAAACGAGTAGGAACTGCACCCTGTAAGCTGCCCTGTTGCCTGGCCTCCATTCCACCTGCTCCCTGACGTAGTACAATGTCCATGACTGGCCCTATGCTGGGCCTGGAATCTCTCGGTCCCTAACTTTGTTCTTGCAGAGGCAGAACGTGGTGGGCATATGGGTACTTCTGGGCCCCCGTTGGCCTGGGCCAGGGAGCCTCCTTGATGCTCTCCTCTGGGGTATCACGGCTGGTGCGGCCCCCAGCACCTTGCTCCCAGGCTGCTGCAGGAGCTCAGAGGAGTTGTTGCTCCTCTTGTTGGCCCCTTCTGTGGAAACGTCTCATTTGCATTGATCTTGAACACTGGATCCTTTCTGCCTAGCCAGCATCCCACCACCTTCTCTCTTCTCCACACCTACCTGTATCAGTCTGTTTTTTATTACTATAGTGAAATATTGGAGGCTTGACACTCATAAGGAAAGGAATTTTATTTAGCTCACGTTTCTGGAGTTCAAGGACAGCACTGGCATCAGCTCGGCTCCGAGGAGAAGTCATTTGTAGAAACCTGGAAGTCTGTCTTTTATGTTGGCCTGGGTGTGCCCAGATCTCCTAATAAAGCACAGCCAGACACATGCCTGTGATCCCAGCTTGGGAACTCGTGTGAGAGGGAGAGATCCACGCCCAGGACCTCACCTCCAGCACAGGAGCCCTGTGGATACAGACCACATCCAGCTGTAGCACAGCCCCCGACAGGTGTCCCGATGCCGTGGCTCTGGTCAGCTGTGGATGGCAGCAGTTGGGGAGGAAGGTGACAGTGTGTGGACCTGGGAGCCTGTTGGGGGGGTGGCTCTTAGAGGGGCTGGGGCAGGACGTAGGGGTCTCAGGCTTGGCCTGGTGAGAGGGAGGATCATGTGGCTGAACTGGCTTGGCTCTGGGGATGCTGATTGGTGACATGTTGCTTTCAGAGGCCCTGCTATCTTCAGGAGTGCCCCAGACTAGAATCCAGAGGCCACCTGGCCATGTCCAAGGACATGTCAGTGGGCCTAGGTACAGAGGCACATTTTACCTGAGGGGGGTGAAGTTTGGCCAATGTCCTGCACTCTTGAAGCCCTATCACCCTGGACACCAGCCTGGGTCTGGCAGGGCTGTCGGGTTGGGGAAAGAGGGCCTACTTGTGGGCTATCCAGATGTGCAGGCTTCCCTTGTGTGCTGGACTCAGGTCTGCCCARGTCACAGGTCTCTTCACCATCCCTGTCACTACCACCCCCCCATCATCCATCCCCCCAAGAACGGTGGGCTGGGAAGGCTTGTGCAGTGTGATCTGTTGCTGGGGATGTCTGGTTGACAGAATGGGGTTCAGGGACAGGGCCTTGGGGGTCAGATGGCAGCTGTTGTGGCCTGCAGAGGGCTCCCCTGACAGCCTCGGGGCCTGTGTTTGTTTTGTGCAGAGCAAGTGCACCGGCACCTGGACCAGCACGAGGTGCGGTACCTGCAGTTCGCCTTCCGCTGGATGAACAACCTGCTGATGCGGGAGGTGCCCCTCCGCTGCACTGTGCGCTTGTGGGACACGTACCAGGTGAGCCCTCCCCGCCCACATGAGCCYTGCATTTGACTTTAAGGGTCCTCTCAACTGAAAGAGTCTTGAAGGAGGTGATTGTTGGTGTTTCTGCTATTTGACCAGCTGTAGAACAGGGAAAAGGACTTCACATTGAGCCACTTGTCACTGGGTTTTACTTTGACCACGTGGTGACAGTGACCCCAATACTCACCAGCAAGTCACCTTGAGCTGAGTCCTGGGAGCACAGAGTCCTGCTCTCACCCAGGATGTGCACTGTGTGTTCTCAGTGACATATGATGGAGACCCAGAAAGTCCTAGGCAGATTGGTACAGTATGACCTTTTCTGCTCTTTACCTGCTTTGGTGAAAATTGTTTTTCTAGAGGATTGTGCTCTCTAGGATGGGTCTCCTCTCCCTTGTGTGTGTTGCTTGTTCTCACACCTTTAAGCTTGCTCGCCTTGTCTGCTGAAGCTGTACCTGCTGCAGGGTTGGGTGCCATTGCTCACCATTGGTGCAGACTGTAGGCGCCATCATGTTGAGCTGGGAGCTGGGAACCAGCCTGCTGCTGGTGTGCGTGCTCAGCTTGAGGAGGCAGGCGTTTGTGCTGTGAACTTACCCTTCATGGGTTGTGTGCCTGGCTGTGCACAGGGGCATCTGGGGGTGGGTGTTGGGGTGTCTGGGAGAGGGGCCTCAGAGAACAGGTGTTTATGAGGCAGTAGAAATGGGTTGGAATCCAGAAATGAAACCTGGCACATGGATGTGTGTGGCAGAGAGTATTTCTGCAGGGTAGCTTTGCTTGTCTAGGCATTTGCAGTGCCAGAATTTCTGATGAGTAACCCTAGTGGGTGCCTCCTACCTTACCTGGGGCTGTTGAGCCAAAGCAGCTATCAGTCTAGGGCTGTTGTCTGCCATTTAGGGTTCCAGGAAACACAACCTTACTTCTTGTGAATTGCAAAGGCTCTGCATTTCTTGGTTGGTTGGGTGATTCAAGCCCAGGTCCCTCTTTAAGCAGAGTTCCTTATAATGCCATCCCCATCACCAACAAATGATAGTGACTCAGTTGTATCTTGAAGAACCAGGAGCTGGATCAGCTCGCCCACATCCTCTGCTGCTTCCCTGAGACACCTAGTAGGTATTAAAACTTTGAGCACGATTATGGCCTCTTCGTTGAGTTAATTTTCCTCAAATTAAATTTTGTCATGAATTGACTCATTTGTCCCATGGACTCATGAACTGATAGTATCTGGTCGTAAACCTTTTCATCTCTTAAAAATTGGGGGTATTTCTATTTTACAGGACCAAGTAACCATGAAATTGTATAGCATCTTTTGGCAATGACGATACGTCGTAATCATGSGAGACCAGCTGAGTGATGACTCTACCCTAAGCTGGGGTGTTTGTTGGCTGGCCATGATGGCTTTCAGTAACTCTTTAACCCCTGACGAGGTAGCTTAAAATTCTCTCGGGACACGTATCAAAGAACGGTTATTGTTGAGTCCCCACCCTGTCCCAGGACCCCGAATAGAAGTGGTCTGACATGAATGGGGAGTGTCATCACAAGCATGGAAAGACACCAGGGGGACATAAGCGGAGAAGGCCCCGCTCCCCTGGGGCTCTGCATTTGTGTGGTGGCCGTGGGTAGGCCAGGATCCCAGCTCCCCAAGAGCCCCAGTCCCTGAGAGCCCTGGGGTGCTGCATAAAGGCCAGATGCAGCTTCGCCCGGAGGCCCCTCCAGCCATGCCCTCCACAGGGAAGGGGACCTTAGGTTGTTCCTTCCTCTCCTTCCCCTGGTTGGACTGCGTTGTGGGGTGAACTCTTCTTTCCCACCAGCTCAGCCAGGCGCTCTTGTTTTCCTGGTTTACATGATGCCGGCTCCCTGCCCCAGAGGGTGTTTTCTAAGGCAGTGGGCACATGCCTGTGGGCAGGTAAGGGGGCTTGTTTTAAAGGGAGTGAACACGGGGAGGTATGGGCTGCAGAGCCTGATGGAACAGAGCTTCACATTGAGCCACGTGGGGCCTGTTGTGCTGGGTACTTGTGGACTAAGCTGCACTTGTTCCGGGGACCCTGAGCACAGGTCCTGCTGCTGGCAACCCTGCTGGCCAGCAGGCCTCCCAGGAGGCCTTGGGCATGCTTCCCACAGACACTCTCAGCTCAGTTCTCTTCTGCCCTCTCTGTGGTCCAAGTTCCTAGGGTTGGCTTGGGGTGCTTGCTTGTGTCCACTGTGTGGGATGGCCTTGTCCGGCGGGAAGACAGAGGGAGGACAGCCTTGAGCTGGCTGACATGGTGACATTCTGGGTGCCGGTGGAGTGGAACTGCCTTCTTTGAGAGCTCCTGTTTCCTGGGGTCAGTGTGCATAGAGGGCGACTCCTTAGCATCAGAGCTGAGAAACCTTCTACATGGGACTACCCCAGCATGTGGCCCTCACTCTTTTGTCCCAGAGAGCAGCCATGAAAGGAGGTACCCTGCAGGGGGGAATGGTGTCTGTTACTGTCCCTGATGGTGTGACTCCAACAGCGCAGCAGCTGGTCTGCACTGCTGTCTGCAGAGGAGCAGCATATTGACTGGCATGTGTTCTTTTTGTCTCTAGTTAATTCCGAAATAAACTTGTTATTTTAAAGGTCAGGACTAGGGGAACAGAGAGAGAGGAGCCTCCTTAACTGCTGAGAGGTGGGCTAATAAGCCCTGGCCAGGAGGACAGGCCCTGAACAGCCCCAGCGAGAAATGAACAGCTTGTGTGATGCCTGTCTTGGGTGGTGGCCCCCAGCCTCATTCCTCCCTCTACATAAACCTGTACCAGAAATAGGCATTGAGTGTGTCCTGTGTGCCTGCACTGAGCTGGGCCTGGGGCACAGGAACAAGACAGAGAAGTCTATCCTCACAGAATACTCACAGAATACACTGGGTTGGGGAGCTGGGCAGCCTCCTGGTGCATGTTCCAATGGGAGGGAGGGAGCCGGGTAGATATCTAGGGAGTGGAAACCCTGGGCAGAGGGAGCAGCAGGTGTCAAGGATCATCATGTTGGCCTGTCCTATAGGAATTCATGTGTCAGGGCCATGCACATGTGTGATCAGAGCTCAGTGTCATGTGAGCTCATGTTCCCTCCCCACAGGTACAGGCCGTCACATGAGGGAGTGGCCGTGGACACCAACAGGCATGCAGGGCTCAGTGTTCCCCTTTGTTCCTTGCTCTGCCAGCTGAGGGTCTAGAAGCCACCAAACCTAAGTAGCAGTGAACACACCCTTTCCTAGTGTTTTAATCAGCTGTTTCACTGTTGTGACCAAAAGACCTGACAAGGACACACAGAGAAGGAAAAGTTAACTTGGGGCCCATATTTCAGAGGTCTCCATCCACAGACAGCCGACTCCATTGTTCTGTGCCAGAGTTGGGGCAGAATATCCTGGCAGAAGGGTGCAGAGGAGGAAAGGCCAGTACAGGGCCACCCGGAAGCAGAGAGAGAACTCGGATCAACAAGGGCAAAATATGAGCCCCAAAGACACACCCTCGGGAACCCCCTTCCTCCAGCCACTCCCCACCTGTCTACAATCACCTAACAGTTAATCATCAGGGAGTTAATGCACTGATTAGGTTAAGGCTCTCATAACCCAGTCATTTCACCTATAAATTACCTTGCACTGTCTCACACATCACCCAGATATARGCTTTTGATACTGTTCCCCAGCAAAAGAACCCAGGCTCCCTGGAGAAGTGACCGGTCCCTGGGGAGCAGCCTGGAACACCTTGTAGGGCCAGGGAGCACAGAACTGCTCAGCCATCCACTGTGAACGGGCATCCAGGGGTCCAGTGGCAGAGCAAAAGAATCGTAACAAAGTAAATAAAGTAGAATTGCACTGTCACCCCAAGTATAAACTATAATAACAAAGTACCCACGAATCCACAGTGAAAGTGACCCCTGGTTGAATAAACTGATAAACTGGGAGAAGATAGGTGCGGAGGTAGATACTTCCCCTCTTGATTTGTGCTGTGCAGAGTGACCTTGCCCAGAGAGCTCAGTACAGATAGGGGAAAGGAATGCGGCAGTGGAGATGCCTTCAGATGCACTCAGTACAGATAGGGGAAAGGAATGCGGCAGTGGAGATGCCTTCAGATGCACAGCCAGGGACCGAGGAGAAGGACTCTGCTCCCTGAGACCTCTCCTCCCCAAAGCCCTAGACCAGCCCAGAGGGAATCACTGGACAACTCCCCGGGAGTTATATTCTAGAACATAGCTGACCAGCAGTCCTCAAAACTATCAGGTTCATCCAAGGGCAGTTTGAGGAATTGTCACAGGCCAAAGGAGCCCAAGGAGAAATGATGATTGCCGGTCATGTGAGACCCTGGAAGGTGTTCTGGGACAGAAAAACAACGTGAGGGGAAAACCAAGGAAACCTGCATGAGAGTGGACATGAGTCCACATCAAGAGCAAGGTTAGAGCAGTCATGAAGAAACAGTAGCCCCGGGGTGGGCAGCATGACTGGATGGGGCTCTGCCGCAGCCTGGTCCATCTGACACTCTGATGTGGGCCAGATTCCATGAGCTCCTCGTATCTTGAAGATGGCCTCAGAGGATGTGTGCAGGACTGGAGATGAGTCCTAGGTGTGTTGGGAAGCTTCTGGAGCAGCCAGCCCCTCTCCGTGGTGTGGGCTGGACCTGATGGATGACTCCTCCCCGCTCCCTCTTCTCCTAACTCTTTTGTGAGCTGCTCCAGGGAGAGGCCCATAAGGTGAGGAGTGGTCTTCCCACCCACCAGCCATTGAGGGCCTGAGGCCACTCTCAGACATGTGAGTGAGCTGTGAGATGGAGCTTCCCCAGCTCCAGCCTTGAGGTGAATCCCTGCTGAAGCTTCTCACCTGTGGGTGCATCCCAAGGGCATTTGGGCCTGGTTGTGGCTTCTTCTGGGTCATAGTTGAGGCAGGAAGTGGAAGCGTGGGTGCCGTTGGGCTATGAGATGTGGGCTGTGAGGTTCGGTTGGACAGGTCCCTGAGCTGGGGCACTGCTCTCAGTCCTCAGCACCCTGTGAG